AGAGAGAGAGAGAGAGAGAGAGAGAGAGAGAGAGTGTGTGTGTGTGTGTGTGTGTGTGTGAAAAAGGATGAGAAAAGGTAAAATTATGGACAAAGGAAGCGAAGAGAAGAAGAGAAAGGTGGCTGGATGCGAGGGAAGCAGTTTGGCTGGTTCACACACGCAAGCGCTGTGCGTACATCGGTTCCGAACGGACATTTTTGGCGGTTACTGAGGGTTGCAGCGCCCTTTTTTTGGGTGTGGGTGCGTGCATCGTTCGTTGGAGAACAATAGTGCTTCTTTACCTACCTACTACTAGTTGCAACTTTGCAGAGTATTGCCAATTTTTCTCTCTGTCGGCAATCGAGTCCAGACGCATTCGACCTTGCATTATCCTTTTTCCCTTCCCCTTTGTCGTTGTTCGAAGACATGGTTGTTGTTGCATCATACGTGGCAATGCGCGCGTACTTACTTACGATTGAAGGATTCTCGACATGCCGGTGTGACCATGTTTGCTGACGTCTTCTCCTGCAGCAATGTTCAAACATGCTACTTTACATATATCAAATGTGCAAATAACCACACCCGGCATAATTCGATACCGCCATGCGTTTGAAAAAAAAAAAAACAAATAAATAAATAAATGGTACCATCTAAAAAGAATCATCCTATATCTATAGAATACTACACTTTACATATAGATTACTGTGCTGTAAAAGAAAAAAGATCACATCATTGTATGTTGTTCCTGGATAGTCAACACCTCATCAAGGTTGCGCAGTTTTTCATCCGAAGATATTTCGGTCGAGCAAGAGACACAGCCATATACACCGTAACGTAGTGCGTCGCAAAGTCACAGGGGAGTTGCGCTTATGCACGTATGCGATAGAGGGACAAAAAAAGAAGAGGGGAATAGGAAGGATGCGGGTATCGGCCCCGCAAGCCTGAGAGATTCTTCGAGGTATTTTAGGGGTCCTAAAATCAACTGGGTTGATTGCATTGCATTGCATTGCATTGCAGCGCATCCCGGATATGATGGAAAGTCACTTCCGTACTGTTTGTAGGTGAAACCAAGTATTGTCTCTGTGTGTGTGTGTTTTTCTTTTCTTTTCCCTCAAATTGTTTGCAGCTGAACAAAAGCCCCGATTGTGATTGTCGCGAGTGGCAAGGGTTCCATATGTGCGGGTTCCATCGCGGTTATAGAACCGATACCGTGCGACATTCCGTAACTTTGCGCGAGAGGCCGTGTCACCCACCCTTGTCATTCATCATCCTACAAGGTCGTTGACTCATGTGCAGATCTGATCGATCAATAGTGTTCTGGCCCTTGGATCAACATGGCAAAAGAGCCGTGCAGCCAAAGCAAATATCGCGTGCAGGCGGAGCAGCGCGTGACGGGCGAGCAATCCACTGACAAACGACACTGGCGCAGACCATGTGGAGAGAAGTCGAATGGTGATCATGGAAGCAATGCAGGGTGCATATACAGATATATACACGTGTTGAAAGTGGGTTGTCTGTGCGAATATGATTTGCCGTCGGCCAGGAGCGACAAACTATAGGGAGGTCACACATGTACGTACATGACAAAACACAAGGCGGTGCGAGTCATCAGGAAAAACAAAACCATGAGATGCATAAGCTGTACTTTGCAATGAGGCAGGTCAACCGCCTAGTGCCCTGTAAAGTCATCGTGGGGCCCTCGGTCCACCTCCATGACATGTTGCGTCGTCGCGGAGGTGAAGCGTGAAAAAAAAAAGCACATCGGCAGTTGTCCGAGAGCGTTTAGAGGGCATTGTGGTGCAAACCGAGCACACACCAATTCAGCATCCCCGTATGTCTCGCTGATCGGGCCGATGTCAGCAACCTGAGTTGGGGCAATTGAAGCGGGTAAAACAAAAGGATATGTAAGCAGGAAGGAGACATGAGCCGGGACCGCTGCGACACATACGGTCTTACAGCCCTGTGAACCCACGGCAGAGGTAAACGGTAAGATTGGCCCGGAGATCCTACTCCAGGTTTCTGCTTGATTGGGCAAGTCACTAAACCGGGTTTGCAGCGTGTCATCAACACAACCCCAGTACATCATTTACATACCCAGAGCGGCTCTTTCTCCTGTCTTGTTATCATGCAGAATTGCGGAATAATAAGTGGTTAGTGCGCGTCGATGTCTACACACGTACACTGGGCTATATCCTAGTTGGAACACGACCCTGCATCCCTGATGACATTGTTCCACAATATACTACTACTATCCTAGTAAGAGAATGGTTGAGAGAAGAGAGGCTGAGAGAAAAAAAGAAAATAGATGCCCGTACAAGCATCGCGAGTCAAGGCCAGACCGATAGCTGGACAGGTAGCGAGAGCGGAAGACGGAAGGCGGATTTGTGACGGCGAGAAATGATGTGTTTGGAGAGATGGCGGTGTAGTGGCGGTTACGTGCGCTGCTCGGGGGCTCGGTTAGTCTAATGCTAAGGCCCGATGACGAGGGTTCGATCAGCGGAGGCATGTCATGCATGGGCCGTAGCGGTACGTTAACGAGTCCACAAGTCCAGAGTCAGAGTCCAGAGCGTAAGCAGGATCGCGTTACGCACGTGAGATGGCATACGTCTTCCCGTTCCGTCATCTGGTATAGGGCTATTAGAGGGGTCATGGAGAAGTCCGTAGTAGTATTTGCACGAGTTTGGACCTCACAAGGTGTTCCCTCCCCCTTCTCCGATGCAAGTGCCCCTAAGGCGCACAAGGCACAACATGGTCTAGTCAAAGAGCAGGGTGTGTTGAAAAATATGTAATGAGTTGACGCGTGCTAACCCCCTGTAGACTAAAGTGACAGTTTGTGAAGGCGTCGCAGGTTCAATGTGTGCGCGCGCTGTCAGTTATTAGCACGACAGCAGCATGTACATAGATAGTCGATATTGAGTGCAGCCACGGCCCAGGAGAGAGTGCCAGTGCAGTTCCGAGGATACGAATGCGAACCAGAGCTTTGCAGAGCTGACACGTTGGACTGGGATTGCTGGGACGGCAAAGTTGTCATTGTCATTCGGACCGTTTGGCGACAGACAAAGTTGGAGCTACCAGGGCTAATATGGCTGTGGGCTGAGATCCATTGCTAGGAGTTGCAACTACGACGATGTTGGTCGTAGTTTGCGACAGGGATGTGCAGCCAGTACACAGGACGAACGGAGATTTGTTGAAAGGGGATGCTAGCAGCATGGAGCGAGTGGTGCTGATCTGATAATATCACCAGTCAAGATGCACGCAGGTCATTCATCGGCGAGCAGGGACGCTATGATAGCGCACTTAAAGTTCCGGTCTGGCCATCAAATGAACCGAGCAACAGACGGTGGGGCGTCTGACGGACCACCCCGGAGTAGCCTCCGACGGGTACACTTGGGACGTCGTTGGCAAAGCTTTAAGGTTTGACGAAGCATGCGCGCTTGGCCGGTTTCCAACGGCATGGTCAGGTGGCTTCTGACCGCTCTGGTGGTGGAGCGAGTTGTGTATGCGTACTCTAGCTGCTGTGGAGCGACGTGGAGTGGAGGGAAGCATGGCGCATGTCCAAGCAGACAGACGTACTATGTAGTGATATTATGTATGTACGCACGTTATGCGCATGGTATACTGGGGCTGGGGCCCTCAGCGGCAGGGGGACATGGATGGTGGCGATGGCGGCGATGGCGACGAGGTTGGGTGGTGAGATGGTAAGATGGCGAAGTGGTGAAGTGGGGAGGAGGTGGGGGAAGAGGGGGGAGGTTGGCTGCTTGTTCTCTTCTGGAAGCGACGCCAGAAACGAGGGAGAGGGTCGAGAGTCGAGAGTCAAGAGAGCCGCCGTGGCCGTGTGACCGAAAGGAGCAATGTCAGGGTGCGGTCAAGCGGGCTCCGGGCCCAAGGCGGCATAGCGTCGAGTTGGACGAGGAACAGGCACTGGTTGGGATGGCATCAGAGGACGGACTAGTGCTAGGTAGGTCCAAGGAACCACAGCGGAGCGTGTAGTAAGTAGTGTACGTACATGCTATACGACATCCATACCTCCACACACGACTGACTTGTCGCGCACTAGGCCTCGCGGGCCTGTCCATGTCGGCATGTGTGTGTTTGCGAGCGGGAGAGGAGTCAGTGAGCCGCAAACTCTGACCGGACGTCGTCGGGGCATGGCGACGGGCGACGGGAGAGGCCAAAGGCCTAAACCCAGACAGAAACAGTGACGCCGTTGGTAGCGTGCCTCACTTGGCACTTGCCTGGCCCAATGCGTTCACTATCATGCTCGATTCAGAGTTTGCCCTCTGCCAACATACGAGTAAGAGTAGTCGCCGGCCTTGCTAGCTCTGCATTGCCTCGCCGTCTGTCACACAACCCACGTCTTCACCACCCTCATTGGCACCCTCTGTCTCCTTGCCGCCGCAACCGAACTTCTGCGTCAACCATTGCTTCCATGCCAAGACCCGCACTGCACAGATGACTTTGTCCATGACAGACGCTCGTCAGGGGTTGGTTGTCAGCTCCCGTCCTCCAACCACGCCCTCTCCAGGCACCAACCGCCATGCACATGCAGTCCAGGCACAATCAAATCCACTCTAGTAGCAACAACAAATCGTGTAAAATTCTTTCTTCTCTGCTACTGATGATGATGATGATGATGATGATGATGATGATGATGATGATGATGATAATAATAATGATGCCAACGTTGCCTGTGGAGGCCTGATAATCTAGATGCACTATTCTAATAGTCTCATAATGCAACAAGTATGAGAAAATATTTCAAAAACAAAACAAAACATGGTGGTGAGAAGACCAATGGGTATAACGCAGATTAACGCTTGCAAAATTCCACAAGCATGAAACAACCACCCATGCAACAACAAACAGCCGCCTGCTATTCGCCCTGTTTGATTACTGCGCCCGTCCCTTGGTCTGTTCAGACGCCCACGCGCGATGCTCATATCGACCCGCCTCTGCGCCAAACGAATCCCGGTACAGCGGCCGTTCTGGCGACGGGCGCTGAAGACCTGCCGCCTGACCTGGTTGCCCTTGAGGCGATGCGTGCACCTGAGCATTCGCCCCAGATGCGTGAGTCGTCGGCCCATATCCCGCTAGCGGATACGCCCGACTGTCATGGCTGGGCGAAGGTCCGTCAATTTGGTGAGAGCCCAGTGCCGGGTGGTAGCTGTTGGTCCTCCTTCGCACGTTGCGCTGTTCCTCCTCTCGGGACTCGTCCTCGTATCCGTCAAAAGACGCCTCGGAGCCATGTCCGGTCGTGCAAGACGGTGCTCGCGACGGATCGACTGATGCGCGTCTCAGCCGAGGTGACTGAGGTCGGGCATGGTTCCTCTCAGGATGCGACTGCAATGCCAATGACCTCCAGTAATCTCGCTCTTCACGGTAAAAGGCTGCATCCTCGTTGGCGTCACGCACGCTTTGCTCCAGCCTTGAGATGCTCATCGAAGCCTCTCGTTCCTTCTCTTTTCGTCGGGCTCGGAAGCGAGCAGACGCACCGGCATTGCGCCTTCTCTTTTCGTCGGCGCCCTTGGACGCAGTCTGTGTTTCTACGGGGATTTGGCGAGGTGGCCCGTGCTGACTCTTGATGGTCATGAGCTGGATGCTGCTCTGGCTCGAAGGCGCCATGGCAATCATGCTAGTACGGTCGCCATCAATCGAGGAGGGCCCTTGGCGGGCATCGTGCATCATAATGCTTCCAGGACCATATTGTCCCTGGGTGCTGTGGTTGTCGTATTGGGTAGACGCCACTGAAGCTGGCTGGCTATATGGGGAGTACTGGGCAATGGGGCTTGCACTGCCTGACTGAGGAAAGTTTACATTGGGTCGATGTACATCTGCCCGACCCATGTTCGGGGGTGGGGTTGGAGCTGTGGGTGGAAAATAGTGGGTTCGACCTGCGGCAGGTGGTGTAGGTAGAGCCGAGTGCTGCGGCGTCACCACCTCAGATGGGCGTGTGCTTGCCGTCAAGAAAGGTGATTGGTGGGCATCTATTGTGCCCGTAGGGGGATTGAGTCTGCTAATGGTGTGATTCTTGATGCCTTTGTCATGCAACGAGGGCCGCATAGGAGGTCGTCCTGGGGGCTGGAATAGCCTAGGGAGGTTTTGCTCTTCCCGGGTAGACAATACTGAGTCGACACTATTTGGTCGGCTAATGGAGGGCAGACTCTGCGAGTGGTGCGTGTCGACCGGAGATGACGATTCCAAGCGAGAAAGGCTACGTCTTGAGCTTTGTTGCTGCTGCTCAGCCACTTCGGCTTGAGGGTTGAGGATAGAGTGAACGCCAAGGGAACTGCCATTCCTGCCAGAGGAAGTGGGTGGTGTCATGGAAAACTGACGCAGGGGCGGGAGTGAGACGGGAGGATTCGCTGGAGGCTCCCGTGGGCTCCTATATGGAGGATGCATTGATGGATATGACTGGACGGGCGACATGTGCGGGGTGGTTGTTTGCTGGGTCCTTGATGCTTCAGTGGGTAGACTCGACGTAGTATAAACGTCGTCACAGCCCCCTTGGCCACCCCGCGGCAACCATGAGCGTTCTGACTTGAGGTCGTTGGTATATGGGGGAGTCAACGAGGACTGGAAGCGGCGGGGGAAGAGAGGATGAGGGGCCTCAATAGCGGGAAGAGTTTGGGTAGCCAGCGTGACGACAGGACGGATTGGGTCGCCGTGTAGACAACCCAGAGACAATGTCGAGCTGAGGATGGATGGAAGGATGGATGGGTGGGTGGGTGAAAGGATGGAGTGGAGGTGAGAGTAGTATGTAGGATGTTGGAGCACTAGTTGGAGTGACAACGGGATGCAGGCAATGCAAATGAGGCGAGCGACTCTAGATTTCCTAGTAGGGCAGTTGCAAGTTGGAGCAGGGTGGGGCAGGTGACCAGGCTCTGTTGGGGGAAGGGCGATATCAGGGCTGCAGGAACAGGGCGTGAGGGCCAGAGAGGAGTAGTAGAGGGGAGGTGAGTAGTGAAGCGCTGGAAGCGATGGGAGGGGGTGAGGCGCGGGAGCAGTCCATGTATGTAGTATATATGGGGAATTGGAGGTGACGGTGACGGGCGCTCGCAGTCGGGCGGGCGTGAGTCGGTGGGCCTGGGCCGGGAGGGATATAGGATCGAGTATGGACTAGGAGGTTGCGGTGTAATGGTCGGGGGATCGCTGGGCGGCAGCAAACCATGGAAGGATGCCATGTTGCGCCAGACCAAGGCGCGCAAGTGTGCAAGGGCTGCAACGACACCAAGGGCTTTTTGGCGACGCACTAGACAGGCCCCACTCGCCCCCATCGGGCAGTCATAGGCAGGGATACGGGCATGGTGGGCATGGTGGGCATGGTGGGCATGGACATGGATATGCTGGCGGCCACAGGGCACGCACGTCCAAGGGCTTGCGCAGCAGCTGGACAGGATGCGCGGAAGCGGACGACACGCGCCAGCTGCTCCTAGAGCAACGTCGTCGACGCACGCCAGACGCCGCCAGCCCTGCAGCCGAAGCCACTGGCCTGCGGGAGTGATTCCGGTCCACGTCTAGTCCTGTCATGGCCGCCTAGGGCCGGTCAAGACAGCGGGCGGGGGACAGCGCCCACTGCCCACTCTCTGCCCGGGCTGCACGCACGCCTGCACGCCTGCACGCCTGCACTGTCCTTTTTTTTATGCACCTGAGCGCCTTATTGGCAGCCCGCCGGCGAGGCCAAATGCCCGAAACGATACTCTGTGCCACGTATGTAGGCATGTATGTATGTATGTACGTATATACGTATGTAAGTAGAGCACACCCACACAACCAACTCGCCTGCGTCCGGCGGTGTAAGTATCTATGTACGTCCAGTACATCCATACACCCATACTACTACTCCCCATCTACCTAGTACTTGCCTACCTACCTACACATATACTTGCATGCCTGCCTGTTCATCCGAGCGTCTTGCGGCTGATTGCATCATGTCGTCCCAAGTCATGTCATTCCATCTCGTCTCGTCTCATCTCAGCTCAGCTCTTCGCCGTGCACACACACGCACATACACACACAGTTGCATAGTAGTACACATACACGCACACACACACTTGGATAGTACACCCACCACGGCTTGTAAACACACGGTACCGGACTCGGCCACATCACTAACGTCTCGGGACGGTCAGCGGCGGCAACGCCCCGTCTGGCTGGGCAAGGCAAGAAATATTACTATACTACTGCATGCACGCTATCCTGCACGCCTAGCAAAACGTGCTCGCGCAGTCCGTGCTCGCCGTGTGGAGGCTACAGGCTAGTAAGTAGAGTGCCTCGCTCCCTTGCCCGCTCATCCTGATCCTATACTGGATCCCCATCACGTGGGGGTCAGCACCAGCCCTCCATCGCACATGATACGCAGCCTTCTGAAACGCCATCGTATCATTGATGCCATTACCTGCTCCTTCTTGCCCGTGCGATTGCAACGCGCAACACCTGACCACCATGCGCCTCATGGCCCCCCCCCCCGCATGCCTTGCGCTTCTGGGCACGGGATACACGCCCACTCTCCCACGCCCTCTCTCTCGTCCACTCCCAAGTACACAAGTACACGCTGAAAATACATTTGTGCACTACTCCCGGCCATATGTAGCCACTGACATACAGCAACACCGCCCTGCACTAGTGCCACCAGCGCACTGTCAAACTTTCGGATCGCCTGCTCATCGATGCGAGCTGACCCGCGTGCTGATGGGGAGCTCTTCCGCCAAGGCTCCGGCCCTAAACCAGCATAGCGTGTATCCACCGCCCTGGGTTGCACTGCGCCATTGAGGAAACTCTGCCATCGGTTGGCCGGCCTTCTCCACCAGTTTCCCGTTCCACTCTGTCGGTTACGCTGCCAAGCCGGTGATCCAGGGGGACGCTGCCACTTTCCCACAAGCTTCTTCGAGCACGTCATCGGCGTCTTGTCCATGACCTTCTCTTTCATCCCGCCTAAGACACAAATCTCTTCACCCACCCTGACCCCCAAGCTATTCCGTCTTGTCATGGGCTCTCTTTTCATCTTGGCCCACCTCGATCTGCTTGCGCCTTGCTCCTGGGTTAGCACGCGATACCCTTGTCGTAATCCGCCGCCATGCTTGTCTCGCCGACCAGACCACGGTCACCCATGTCGATTCGTCAAGAACAAAGAGTGTCTCATCCCCATCCAGGGCGGTCATCCAAAGGGATGCTTTCTGTCGTAGCGTCTGATGGTCCATGTGCATGCCTAAATGCCAAGACGCCCTATCCCCACGTGCACGGACCATCTGTAGTTTGTTCGCTGCGGTTACAATTCTCCGTCGCTCGTTAGACTCAACGCCTAGTGCACCTCGTCCTTCGTACTCTACTTAGTGCTGCAGGAACAAACAGTACACCTAATTCGCGCCAAAGTTTCCTCCGCCTTGGCCGGGGTCAGGTGTTCCACCATCCGCCCTATCGTCTGAACTTAATCATCAGCCCGCCTCGTGCCTCTCCATCCTGGCCGTTTCACAATGTGCGCATATCCCACTTGCCATTGGCCAGAGTGCAATATACTCTACTTTTACAACGTAAACCTCAAGGCTGAATGAAGTCTATTCAGAGGACATTCCCGCCGCTAATGAAATGTCCGCAAATCATTACATCACTGAAATTTCATAACAACACCTTTCACCTCAGCGCCAAACACATGCACAGTGATAGATCCATACTAGCACATCATTCCACACACCCGGCGCATCAGGCACGCTCTGCTTAGTAGCATGCGCACTGCACAAAAGCCCCCGAACAAGCCGTGCCGAGGCCAACCGTTGTGGTGCATTCTCGTCAACCCTAGCTCGCTGTCGATCAAAGCGGCAACTACCACAACCGCAACAATTGCAAAAACATTAGACCCTTGAGTAAGTCACGCAAAGGGCCTCTGGCATAACCCGGTCTTACTTGCTGACAGAGCTTTGTTCGCTGCCGAAGCCAATGTTCGGCACTCGTCGTCTCGTTTGTGTTTCGTCTTCACCCGCAATGATTACTTGGTTCAGCTCAGGACACCACGGACTCAAGTCCGCTATCACAGCCGTGTCTCGCCCCATCAGAACATACCCTGACTTCTATATTATGCAAGCAACACACATCAACAGCAGCTGCGTATGACTCGGCGCTCCGTTTGTGACACGGCATTGCGACAGGCGTACGCCAATACAGTTAAAGAGTTTCGACGTTGCAAACAGCTCACAGTGGAGACCCACATTGTTGGCCATGCTCTGATCATTCTGTTCCAAGCAGGCATCTGCATAGCATATCTATCCAACGCATTCTCAAATCCCTCCAGCACACCCCCACCTCGGCTTTTACCCATGTCAGTGATTTTTGTCACTCAACAATATTAAGTTCTTGATAGTCTACTATCCGAATCTGGAATATTAGAAATCGAGATCATTCCCCTCCAATTTGCCACGACGCTGCCCCCGTTGCGTTCTCGCAACAGCAACAGTACATACATGCTTCTTCGTGTGCATCTGCACAGTGCGCCAACGGGATCCGAAAAACCCATGTTTGTCACCTTGCCGTCAGCACCAGCGTTCATGTTCCTCGATCAACCAAAGAAGCGAATATTATCTCCACCACCAATCGGCGCAACATAACTTGTACGCTACTTTGTTCGTATGATGCTATACTCAGCCAAGCGCTATGCATGGCGACCAAAACCATCCCTCGCAAAAATCCCGATATAACTTCTCCATCACTTTGAATAAATTCCGTACTCCCATCCACCCTATCGACCCAATCTCGCTGACTATTTCCGCATTGATTGGCTGGCTCAAGTACGCGAGCTGCGCCGCAGCAGCATGTCATTATCCCCACAAACCCTTGAGCAATGAGCACTTCGCTACCCAACAGTTGGTGGGAAATGTGGACCTTGTGGGATAATCCTTCCAAAACTGATTTTGGCATGGTCTGATTCGACCTCTTCTCACAATCTCTCTAGCCCCTCAAATCTAGGGTGCAGGCGCCGCCGCGAACAGCAAAGTCCGGCCAAGATATGTGAGTAATCCACACGCAATCTGTGGAGATTGGGGGACGTTTTTTTCTCCGTCTTCCCCTCCTTCTGTTGGAGCGGAATTGTAAACCGAGTCGACCCGTGCACCTCGTTCGCCGGTTCCTAGCTTCACCTTTGTAGTTCGCAAAGACCATGTGAATATGCCAAGTCGCCTACCCTGGACACATAATGGTACGATATGGTAGGTAGTAGGGCGTTACTCAAAGCTAGAGGAACTTGATAGCGGTGTATATCTGTATACACGAGTCAGTGTCATGTCACGGTAGTAGTCTCGGTTCCTAGTCCCGTGTTTTAGGACACCAGTGTTGAGCCATCCGCCCTTGGAGTAGAATACTTTGCTGCTCGCATTCCATGTCGGATAGGAATGCTCTTGTGATACGCTGGATGCTATCACATTATCATGCAGTGCACAGCATCTTGATATACTCAGAAAAGAGACATGGCCAGTCCCGGATCGCAGCCAATGCACTGCTACTCACACGATGTGACACTACCCCACTCATGCTGTTCTTGTGATTCCGGCAGGATTCTGATCTTTTATCAGATCAATGAAGCTCGATCTCCGTGGCAATAGTCACAATGATTCTACCACGAACCCCCAACAAGGAAACGGACAATTTTGTAAACTTTGTAAACTGTGCTTTACAGTGCATGAACTTGATCAGAAAAGATGTGTGTCGCAGCAAGTGCCGAGACAGCACAGCACTACAACACGTAATTACAAATCGAAACATATCGGGTCAATTATGCGAACAGGTTTATTACTGATAGTGTGCAATATAATGATGCAACGTCTCAAAGCTGGCAGAGAGCCGTCCTAGCCATACTGGTGCTCAGGTCCTAAGACTGCACGTCAAACAATGTTGCACCATCATTCAGCCAAAAATAGTCATTTCACGTGACATCTGACCATGACACATGTTATTGACACTGTAGAGTCGAGTAAAACACATATTGCAATCATGGCTGATATGTGTAGTACTTGTCGGACACTGTAACTGTAAAGATGGGACGGCGGCGGGCCGGGAAACGCCGACACAAGTCTTGGCAAAGGACACGCTTACGTCTGTCTCGACACAACATACGTACAGAGCTGCGCGTTCACTCTTTTCGGATCAGCAACAATGAGGGTTTTGCACAGCTTTGTTTCTTCACTACTCCTTTCGAGTGCAGCGATTGTATCTGCTGCTTCCTCGTGGAGCTTTGAAGATGCTACTGTTTCGGTTACGAGCAAAGGTGCTGGTGTAGGCGGAGGTTCCAAGGACAGGTAAGCTTAAGCCGGAGCTCTGTATTTGTGCAATGAGTATACGACTAATATTACCTCTCTAGTCTGAGCCCTTCGAAGCCGCTCGGAAAGTCCGTATCACTGGGCGCGACTGACACGTTGAAGCTCGTCCTTACCACAGTCGATGGAGGCACTGCGAAGCGTCCACACCAAGCATACTTGACTCTGACCGACCCTGTCACTGGCGTAGAAGACTCGTTTGTGTTTAGTGTGAAGGATAGTGGAAAGGGCAAAGTCGACCTGGTACGTAACGCCCGTCAATGGCTGCCGACATACCTGACCATTCCAGTCTCACAAGGATCTACCCCATCAATTCTTGACAGCCGAGAAACCAATTGCTGCGTCCATTGTCATTGGGTCGCTTGGTTCATCCAAGCCGTACAAGAGCAAGGTGTTTGACCTTAACGTCACTCGCGACACCAGCATTCCTCTAAGCGTCCCCAACCCGCCAGTGCGCTTCGCCGCCGAGCCCGAGATCCATCACATCTTCCGCGACGACCCCAAGTCTCCACCAAAGGTCATAACTCTTGTGTTCGCGGCTGCTGTTGCTGCTGCGCTGCCCATCCTGCTTGGAGCATGGGCTATTTTGGGCGCAAACGCTAGCCATTTGGGCAAGGCCCTGGGTAACGCCCCTGTGTCGCACGCCCTTTTCTACGGTTCTATACTGGCTATGGAGGGTATCTTCTTTTTGTACTACACGACTTGGAACCTTTTCCAGACCCTGCCAGCTGCTGCTGCCGTCGGAATCGTTGCCTTTTTGAGCGGCAGCCGAGCTCTGTCCGAGGTTCAGGAGCGTCGACTGGCTGGCTTGAGATAGGTAGAGGTGGGAACTGAAAATGGCACTATGGTCTGAACATCGAAGACAAGAATCCGAAAGGGGGTCATGGATGGCATACAAAACGCCACTAAGCGCGGAAAAAGGACAACAATGGGACTATTGTATATTATGCATGCTGAATGATTAAATACTAGAATACAGGCTGGGCTCACTGCGATACCAGCAAGTCCATGCACTTGGAAGTGTGTATGGTGTCCTTTTTTTCCGTTATGCCACCTACAGATGATTACCCTTGTGATTAGGATATGGGACGAGTCATCATTTCGCAGTGTATGTTGCCGATCCTGGAAGTTTGCAGATGCGAGGCACATAAGTACCAGCGCATGTAGAGTTGACTGACGGTGAATTACTCCATTTTGCTCAGATATTGCATCACATACGATGCAAGCAACGTTACCTCGTCATTCTACTACTGTGATGTGTCGAGTACAGAATAAGCACATTGAGAATTCGTTATAATACTATGACTGATTTTTTACTCTCTTTTGCAACCATGTGTTAACTTCCAACCTTAGATGTCAAAAAAGGCACTGACATGAATATTATGGTGAGTAGAAAAAAAACCCCCCCATGGTAACTGTTAAGCAATATCATTCACAACCTACTCTATACATTTCCCAACCAAACCCCCCCCTTTCACCCCCTTTCACCCCACCATGCTCAAAATCCCGTCCACATTCTCCCTCCCAACAATGCCCTCCTCAACCATCTGCGCCAACGCCCATTCCACAACCCCCCTCTTCCCCTTCCACCCTTCCTTCCCCCCTCCCTTTCCCTCGACTTCTTCTTTCAACACCTCCGCAACAACCGCCTTCGCATCCGCCACCCGCCCCGCATGCTGCGCCCCCGCCCTCTCCGCCCAACTCCTCGCTCCCCTGTAGAAAACACCCGCGTTAGCAACCAGCGTCGCCCCGCTCTTCTGCCACGCCGGCTTCGCAGTCACGAAGAGTGAAATGCGGAAGCGGAAGAGATCAGTGTCGCCTCTTGCTAGGAAAACATCTGATAGCCGCGAGGCAGAGAGCAGGGAAGCGTGCGGCTGAGAAGAAAGAGTAGTGAGCATTGTTTGGGATTGAGATAGGGCTGTCCATTGGAGTGCGGTGTCTGTTTCGAAGGTTGGGGCTGAGGGGGTGTATTGTGTGCCGTCGGAGAGGGCGGAGGCGAAGTCGATGAGGGCGTCTGCGTGGGTGGAGTGCAAGTTTATGGTGGCCAAGGTAGGAGGGGTTTGTGAGATGGATTGTTGGAGGGAAGAGAAGGTGTGGTCGATGGTTGAGGCGTAGGTTGTTGCATCTATTTTTCCGCTGCGGTACTGGATTTCTGCTATGCTGGCTTGGAAGGTGGCGACGGCGAGGAGGGCGTCGTCTTTGGGGGTTGTGGTGGCTTCTTCGGATGCGGGGGTGGAGGTTAGGGAGAGGGTTGGACCGGATTTGGGTTCTTCTGCTGGGGCTCTTGTGGGAGATTTGTCGATGAGGTCGAGGAGAAGAGGGATTTTGTGCGTGGCTGTTTCGAGGCCGTCTTCGGCTTTCTTTTCGAGGCCCGAGAGGTCGAGGGCGGGGTTGTAGAGGCCGAGGAGCGTTGTGAGAGCGTTTAGTTGTGCAGTGCATGTTTCTAGGATTGACTCCGGTGTTAGGGGCTCTTCGACTGTAGCCCAATCACCTGGTGCTTCTGAATCACTAGATTCGGTCTTCATATCTTCATCTGCTTCCCCAGCTGCTGACTCTTGTTGTCGCTCTCCTTCCCAAGCCTCGCGGTACTCACCAGAAGCCTGTGCTTTTGCAATCTCAGCTTGTATCTGCGTGTAATCTTGCTGCTGACTGTCCAAACACCTTTTGAAGATCTCTACGGCTTCTTCAAGCAATGGCCTTGCATCTTGTTTTCTAGCTTCTTGTGTGTCACTTTCTAGACGGGCTTCTGCCAGTGACGTAAGTACTTGTGCAGTATTGAAGAGAATGTCTGTATTCGTTGGATTTAGCGAGACTGCAAAACGGTGAGAATCTAAGGTTTGCTCCATCAGCGCTGTTCTGTTTCCAAATTGTGACATGCTGCGCTCATCTTCTGCGATGTTGTATAGCAGATTTGCTCTGGGTTCGATTAGTACTTGGCGCAAACTGAGATGCTCGGCCCACTCACTTATTATACGCGAGATCAAATGATTGGGGATGAAGTCTCAGGCCCTCATTATACATATCAATTGCTCTATTGAAGAAGCGAGCGGCCTTTGCTGCGTCTCCAGCGCGCCATTTGCCCGCTGCCTGCTCATAATCGTCTGCGGCTTCTAGAAAGTCGTTTTCGGTTTGTGGTTCTTGTGGCTTTAACTTGCCCTTTGGCTTCGGCTTGAGAAACTCTTTTCGCTTAGGAGGCATGTCAACGGGAGAAGATGATGATGAGAAGTGACGAGTTTTTGGGTTGGTGTTGTGTTGTAGTTCAGCGACAGGACAGGGTCTGTAGAGGTGCCGGACGGGCCAACGCCGCGGACGGGCCAACGCCGGATTTTTCCCCAACAGTACTATCACAAACTTGAAGCTGTAGAGCTCTACATAAAAGCTATTATCGCGAGAAATTTTAATGTAGTAACCTAGTAGTATCATTTATCTAATCTATCTACTGATATTTGATTGGCAGCTTGATGGGGCGGCCTGAACGCGAGCGTGGTAACGGTGGTGCAGCTGATCGATCGGCTGGCTGCGCACCACCACTACTACTACCAATGATAATATTTTTTGATACTAGCTTGGCACGGCGCTTAGAGCTAGGCTTCTTGCCTATTCGAGAGATTTTGATAGCTTTTTGAAGTCGTTTGTGGGCGGCTTGGCGGGCTATCTGGTGGGCAGCTGCTTTAGCTTTCTGCCTCTCACGATCTAGTTTTGCCTGTCGCCCGCGCCCGCCGCCGTGCATCTAGTTCTTGAGCTTTTGAGTAGCTTTTCTCTCCTTTCTAGCTT